TTTGTCTCAGGTCATGTTGCTGAATAGTAATTGTTACTTTAAATGTCAGCACACTTGTGTTTATATGATTTGAAATGAATATCTGCTCAGAGACCTATGCCACCAGAAGTGTTGTGTGGGCCTTGCAATACTACACCATAGGGGCTACAGTAAAATACAAAGAGAGTATTTGTACCATGTGAATTAAATAAAGACAGAGCTACTGCCCCTGGTTCCCCGAAAAAGTCTAGAAATTAGAAACCATGATGTCCACTCAGGATCAAAAGAATTCTACTTCCTGTTTTTCCTAGAACAGAGATCATTTGTTAGCATTTTGTCATACTATATTTCAAGGTTACTTTTTCTTCTGCTATAATGGAACTAAATCAGTGTCTCTGCCTCCAGAAGGTTATGCTTTGGGGATAATCCGATTTTTAACGGTTCTCCCTAAAGAGTGCAGCAGGTATGCATTTTTGTCTCCTACTTACCTGAAAAGAAGATACATTTGTAATAATTCTCTAGAAAGTGAATGCATCCCCTTGAGAAGTTGGAGTCTCTGGGATTCAGATCAGTCAGCTTGGCACAGATGGGGGGTTGAGGTAGATTTAGGAAGGAGGAGATAAAGGCTCCTGGCACAAGCTCTCCTATGGTGGGCATTTCTGTCACACCAGTGCCCGTCATCAGCCAACCTGCACCTCCTGCAAAGACATTTCCTTCCCTTGTACTTTTTCTTCCTCTCATTTTTCCTTGCTATGCACTGTTGGGCTTCATCTTGGTACAGAGTAGAATTAGAGGTAGAAACCCTATTCCATATGACATAAAACCCAACAGATTGTCACGATATGCCCTAACTCTTGTTTCCCCAGTGGTTCTGAGATACAGACCTTTCTTATCCCCAAACTCACTTCCTGCAGTCACATTTTCTTGCTTTGTTTCCAAAGGGAAGATAGTACTGTGGCCTTAGAGAAAAGACATAATCCAGAATTCTGTCCCACTGCAATGCCTGGGATATATGAAATCTCTAAGTGACTGGAGAAAATCCCTCTGTAGAGGGGGGTGTAAGGGATAAGAAACTAGCAAAGAAATATTTTTTCACTTTGTGAGTCCAAGGTACAATCACTATGAATATATTGTTTTACTTCACAATCACATCAATATAGAAGTTTAATTAAAGGGTCAAAAATCCAGGAGAAATTATATCAGTTCATTTCATCAAAATTATTTTCCCTCTGTTGTTATGTATAATAATATTATAATATTAAGATATAATAATATTCTATATAACATGTATATTATATAATAATATAATATTATAAAGCATATATATATACTATATATATATATGCTTTGTTTTCACAAATACTTGAAGATAGAGCACGACAGAGTTATTCAATGCTGATAGAAGCATTTTGCTAAAATGGTTAGAAATTCATTTACTCTTATTTAGAATTATTAAAGGGCTACCATTTAGTTAACTTTTGCTGATTTGAAGATACAAATATTCTACTGGAGTTTTTTTTTTCTTTTTTCCTTGCTTTATTGTTTAAATTTATTTTACTTTATTTTATTTTATTTTACTTATTTTGCAAAAGGGACACATTACTTATGTTTCAAACATTATAGAACACTAAATTTTTTATCATGCTAATTGAGAAACATTAATGGAAAAGTAAGCACAGCATTATTTCCAAAATAAATACTTGCCCTAATTAATTTTAAGATGTTGAAAAATGGTAGAAGTGGGCATAATCAATTCATGTGCCAACATAGTTTATTTGACAAAGGATCAAAAGACAGTAGGTCCATAACAGTTATGTATAAATCCACCAAGTAGCCTGCAGCCCAGCATCGAATCTTCTCCTTGCATCTGGGTTGGGAGAGAACATGCCTGAGATTCTCTTTAACTCCAACATTCTGCCATTCAACTCCTAGAAAGGTGCTCACTTGTAGAATACAAGTGTTACCTAAAATTGCCTCTATTGGCTTGTTTGTTCACAATAAAACAAATCTCTGTTTTTATTTGGATTCCCCTTTCTATTTACAAATAAAATGTCTGCTAAAATATCGAGAAAAAAAAATTTCAATACCAGTTGAAATCTTTCCCTAGATCATCTTTCAGTACTAGCACCTCATACTTCCAAAGTCTACCCCCAACAGACCAAAGCAACAAAGTGCAACATTAGTCTCCCACATTCTAGCCCCACTGGCATTTACAGTGTGCTCTTGGGATTTGGAGGAAGAGAGGAGTCTCCTCCATACTTCTTTACAGACAAAGAATCTTCAGGACCAAACAGAGTTGGGATTACGGGAAATAGCCAGTGTTCTCTGGTCACTGGTATACCAACTCCGCTGTTATTTGCTGGATAACAATAAGCAAATAATTTTGCCATAACTTAGCTTTGCTAGCTATTAAATGATAACAATAGCTTTACCCATCTTTTATGGTTGTTCATACAAGTTAAAACTAACAGAAACGTAAGATACCTACCACAGTGCCTGGCGCAAATTACAAACTTGGTAATGCTAAGTAGTTCCCATTATTATTACTTTTATTCTCCCCAAAATAGTTTAGCAAACTGAAAACAAAATAAAGAAAACCTCAATGTGAATATGGAGTCTTTTCTCAAGTTCCCAAGGGACATATTCTAACCTGTTTCTACATGGAATGGAAGGGCTCAGGGAACCAGACCATAAATGCAGAGGGAAAATACCCAGAGAAAACCATGCCTTTGGGTGTCACAAAGTAAATCATGTGGGATGAGTCTTAAGTCTTACTTGTGGGACCCTACCTCATATATGCAGGTAATTCAAAATCCAGAAACCTTTCACCAGTCATGCTTGGCTGCTGTGAGTGTGTGGCCTTTGTGTTCAGAAACTACTCTAGGAAATTGAACACTAAAAATCCCCACTAGGGCCCTTTGGGGTTCAGGAGTTTGCCCCAGCTAAGCAGGGAACTAGCTGCTCCAGAGGTGCCAGTGGTGCTCCTTAATGATAGAGACACATCAGTATTCCCTCCTCCTCGGAGCACTTAAGATTGATATCTCCTTCGGAAGGGTCTAAGACCCAGAAAAGAAAATTCTCCTTTCTCCCAGTTGGTAAAAAAGAGGACACATCTGCAGGGCTAGGTAGAGAAAGAAGCCCGTGTTACTAAAAGCCTACCCATGAGAGGCCTGGACAGGAAGGACCTAATTGTGTGTGACTCCAGATCTGCAAAACTTCCAAATCCTTCGCCTGTGGAGTTGGGAGGAAACAGGTACTTGATTTGGCCAAAGATACTGCTAGGAAAGGGGTGTGAACCTCCTCCTAGAGAAACATTGTCTTAGGTGCTTTTGGGTTGTGGCATCCTATGCCCCTTAGAAGGACTAGAGGGCTGTGGGAGCTAAAGATGGGAGGCTGCCCCTTCTTTGTAATAGCAGAAGAGGCTCTCTCAGGAAAGAAGTCTTGCGCTTTAAATGAAAGAAAAATCTTTTTTCCTCTTTATCTCCCCAAGCATCTGAAACAACTAGAGAGATCTGCCTGGAGGCCAGGAGGTTAAACTGCCTTTCTGTGGGGCCCTAGGTCTGGATGCTGGTTCACCCCTCAGGTGACATCCACACCCTCCGCACGGTTTTCCTGCATGCCCTCCAACTCTGAGCTCGGATCCTCTCTGCACAGCACAGGGCTCCCTTGCTCCGCCCAGGTGCAGTTCACCGAGCTGTGAGGAAAAGGTGGTTCCCACTGCAGCCTCTGCCGCCGTGCTTTCCTCCAACTGACTGGGACTCCGACCTACTTGCTGTGTGCTGGGGACTCTCCCCAGCCCGCCCTGCACACCGGTCTCCACTACGGGGCAAGATTCTGCTTGCCGCCCAGACTGTAGGGCTTTGGAGACATCCTAGACACCAAGAGTGGGCAGGGAAGGTGGGCGTGGGTCTCCGACTCGGCTGCTAAAATGAAAACCTATGGAATTAGGCGAGTACAGAAGAGGAAAGGAAGTGAGGGCACAGACCCATTAAAGCAAAGAAAAGCATTTCTAGTTCATAATCTGACCAGTCACCGCCCAAAATGCCAGCGTATTCATATTACAGCAGGGAGGTTTGTTTGCTCCTGAGCAAGGAGATCGCTGTACCCCAGCAGTATGCCTTCCCAAATTCCCCAGAGCCCCGAAAATTCATGGCTCCTTTGCACCTCTGCGCCTCCCCAGGTGTACAGCCCCTCCCCCACCTGTGTTTACACCGGGCCAGCGCCCTCCGGATTTAAATCCCTTTTCCTCCCCAGATGACCGCTCAGGGCTGGCTGCTCGCTGCATTTGTAGTTCTCTCATTCCTCTCATTGGTGGGCGAATCCACCTCCTACCCTCATCTTCCTCCCGCACTCCCCCGAGCAGTGTTTCCTCCCCAACCACTTTCTTAGCCACCCAGATCTGCTCTTGCAGTTCTAAGGTGGACAAGCGAAAGCCTCTCCGAGGGTCTCATTACCGATTTGGGCTCGGCTTGCGGAAGGGTGGCCTGACCCCCAGCACTGTGGACGGAGCTTCGGGATGGCCGCGGCTTTGCCTCACGTCCCACCTCTGCCGTCACCTTCCCTGCCTTTACCCAGCTTCTACAGGCAACCTGAGCACTGCTGGTCCCAAACCCTCGCCTGTGGGGAGGGAGCCATAGGGAGCGAAAAGTCCACTGGCGAGAGCGTACAGGAAGAAACGGGCAGAGGTAGCTGGCCAGGGAGCTGGGGGAAGGGCGCACGCGAGAACTAAACATGCTACTTGCCCTGCACAGGGTGAGCACTGCGCGGGGAGGGCGGGTGGTCACAAAAGTTTCCAGACTATTGCATGGCACCCGGCTGAGCAGGAAGGAGCAGAGCGGGTCCGGTCCCCTTCTCCAGGCGGGGTCTCTCCAAGGGTCAGTGCCAGGCGTCTCAAGAGGCTTGGACAGACGTACCCCGGAACTAGGGTGATAGTTCTCTACTTGTGCCCGAAGGGACGGCCTAAGCACCTGGGCAGGGAGGATCCCGCGCTCTTCGAAAAGCAACAGGCGGCTGCACCTTACCTTGCGCCAGTCCCGGGTAGGGACGGCTGTTCCATCCTCCTGGCGCAGGAAGGAGGCGTTTGGTGCGCGTATGCCTAGAAGTATGCGCTTTGCCAGGGCTGCAGCGGCAGCCACCTCCAACCCGCGGCGGGCAGGCTGGGCTGCCCACTCCTGCCGGCGCCGGCCCTCTGAGCTCGGCTAGCGGGCCACAGCGGCGGCGTTCAGGAGCGGTGGCCGGAGAGCGGGACGCAGGCGGTGCGTGGTGCGACTGGCGTCTTAGGGCGCCGCCACGGAGCGAGGGTGCGGCCCGGGGTGGCTGAGTGGTGCACGGCTTGGCTCTTACTGCTGCGGCGGCTGCTGCAGACCCTGCGCCCGGCTGGGAGGCTCGCTGGAGGAGGAGGAGGAGGAGGAGGAGGAGGAGGAGGAGGAGGAGGAGGAGGAGGAGGAGGAGGAGGAGGAGGAGACAAAGACGCGAGGGAGGCAAAAAGCCACTCGCCCAAATGCAGTCGACTCGGTCACTAGAGGGGAATCGCCTCCAAATCTGGGCTAGGGAGGAGGGAGGAGGGGTGAGGCTGCCGGGGACTCGAAAAGCTGCAAGGGATGAACGTGACTGTCAGAGCTCTGCCAGCGCCCAGCCTGGCTGTTCTCTCTCGCCTTCTAGTAAGGGGTCCTGAATGGAGTCGGGGATGCAATTGAGCTATAGCTGCGGGAGGGGATGAACCGAAGTAGGACCCTTAGCTCCTTCCCCAGCTCCAGCCTGCTCCCCTTCATCCCTTGCCACAGCTATTCTAGGATGCTGGGGCTCCGCTCTCTATCTCCTCCCACTCCCTCCTTCTCTGTCTGGGGTTCAGGGTAGTCCTGTCATCACTGTGTAGCCCAGGGTGGCCTCGAACTCCTGGAGATCCTCTTGTTCAGTCTCCTCAGTGAGATTACTGGCATGCGCCACCACCTCCAGCTTTTCTCCTGCTTTTTGACAGCAGAAACAAAATGTAGTGATGGGTCAGTTGCCTTCCATGGGGGAAAAAGCAGATATTTATAATCAGTTCGACACATTATCACCTACTGGGTGCCAAGCACTGTAATAGGCTCCTGGAGGTGGGGGCTGGAGAAGGTGGGATCCAGCCCCCTCCCCACACACACCTGCACAGGCTACACTGCTGGACTGAAGGCTGAATTTCCCTTCCAGCACAAACAACTCAAAGTTAAGGTGCCGCGTTGTTGCTCTTAATGCCAGTCCTCACCCAATTTAGTTTCCTAAAACAGAAATTGTTAGGATTCAATTGTTCCTTGCCTTCTAGGGATGCCTTAGAGTGTGCTACAGAGATGGAGTGTATATGTTCTTTAAAAAGTAAGAAGATAGGTGTGTGTGTGTGTGTGTGTGTGTGTGTGTGTGTGTGTGTGTGTGAGAAAAAATAGGGGAAAAGTACTGGTTTTGATGATGTGCTTATTTCACACTTTTAATTATTAATCAGATCTCTGCCAGGAACTAATTTAGGACAGATGCACCTGTCCCCTCAGCCTCAGCAGACTTTCTCAAGCGCTTCCCACTACACCCACCGGACCCCAAGCAGAATTCATCTTCCTCCTCCTGCCAGTTTTATTTGCTAATTGCTTGGAGAACTTACATATTTATAGGTTTCTATCACCTCACTCACCCAGAAGCATTCTTCCTGCTTGCTCTTTCTTTCTTTCTTTCTTTCTTTCTTTCTTTCTTTCTTTCTTTCTTTCTTTCTTTCTTTCTTTCCTCCCTCCCTCCCTCCCTCCCTCCCTTCCTTCCTTCCTTCTTTTTTTTTTTTTTTCATTCAGGTTGCAGCATCCAACAATGTTTTGTAGCTAATAAGTACTCAACTAAGATTTACCCAGTTGAAGGTCATTTTGTACTTCAAGAACAACTAAATCTCAGTGCCCCAGAATTAAAAGGACTCATGATAAAACCTTCAGTGTTTCTGAAGGAGGAAAGACATATATAGTCACATTTACAACCCCTTTGCTAAACATGTAAAACTATTTCATATGCTTATGTGTTTTTGTCACTCTCCCACTGACCATCTCATGTTTCTTTGCTGAATTTCCATTAGCAAGCGGAGACCAAGCTCTTGAGTAACTGCAGAGGCAAGAGTTACACAGCCAGCTGCCAGGACCTAGAGCAAACCCATTCCAGGTGGAGAACAACCAAAAAATCTTTATCATTTGTGACCTGTGTCAAGTGTGTTGAAAGCTTGCCAGAAGTGCCGAGTTTCCAGCGAGGCTCTCTTATTTTGCATGCACTTTGGAATAGGTTAAGCTGTATTTCACTGATAAAAGACGAAGAAACATGCTTGGTAGTTTAGAAATGTTTTAAATCATTCTTTATCTCTTACTTCCTGTGCATTACAGGAAGTAATACCCCAGACCAGGGATGCAATATTAAAAGCACCATAGGGTATTGCACTGACTGACTCCTATGCTGTCTTCCATGATTTTATAATACCATGACTGGAAAGATGATGGCTTAAATTTTGTGTAGTTTTTGCATTTTTAAAATGAGATTTTAAGACTCAAACATAAGTACATATACATTAGAAGCATATAATTTGAAATGATTGTTGTAAAGGGAAATTTGACACTGTTATTGAAAGGATTTTTTTTTTTTTTTGCTATTATCCTAGTAACTACTAAATACTTCTACTTAGGAAATAATTTAAGTTGAACACCAAGATTTAACTATTAGAATGTTCTTTGCAGTGTTGTTTATACTTGTGGAAGATTCACAGAAAAGAAAATTCAAATGTCTAAGGGAAGAATGCTGAAATACTTTGTAAATCTAGACAACGGAATGCTAGCACAATATCAAGTCACTGTTATAAGTCAATAGATAAATATTGTCCAGGGTAATAGTTATGTTTTTAATTGCAAAGTTTTAAATGTATAAATCATACATAAGATATTAAAAATTAAAATCTGGAAATAACAGATCTGATTTAAAGTCAGGCATTTCTGTTTTCTGGCTATGTGTTCTTGGACACATGTTTTCTCAACTGTAAAATTAATATTATTTACCCCCTAGCGTTGTTGTGCTTTAAATGAGGTAGTATTTATGTAGCAATTATTATAGTCCATACTAAAACCTCAACATATTTTGGTGATCACTGAATCTGTAATTGGTTTAAACCACAATACATTTTCTGATATATGTCTACATAATATGTAGTCCAATATTAACAGTGGTTATCCCTTTTATCACTGAAATGTTGAGGATCTTCTAAAACTTTTATAATAATCATAAAATAGACATTATATAGTGAGAAGCATAGAATGTGTCTTTAACATGGTTGTCCTTTAATTGGTTTTTTAATTGCTAACTGTTGACACTGAAATCCCTAGACTTGGTGGCTTTCTGCTCTAGTTGGTTCATCAAGACATCAATAGGACTTGCTGACTGTTGGTGTCATCCATGCTATAAACAGGATAAATGACAGGGCATAGAGTTTGTCACCTCTGATATAAACTTAGATTTGTTTTGTAGCAACCAAGAGTCAAGTCCAACTCAGCAAAATACTATGCTTAATATTGGTTGCTACCTCTGCTTTGTCTTGACAGCCAATTAAAAAGAGAGACAAAGGGGGTATTAAAAGCTATATTTATAACTTTTGATTAGTGAACTAGAGAAGGTAGCCTAACAGACTGTCCTAAATTCATTGACCTTCATATCAACAGCCACTCTAGGTCTGAGGTAGATTTGTAAAAGTCAATGATGTATATTACAGATGCAGCAAAAATACATCCTGGAAAGTATGATTTCTTAATGTCTTATGTTTAACTTCCTTTAGAAATAGAAATACATTATTTAGAGCTGGAATACACACTTCCCAAGAGGCTTAGGCCTCTTGGGCCGGAGTTCAACAAGAAGGAGAGAAATTAGTTTCCCTCCAGGTGGGGATTTCTATATACATCTGTCCAAGGATGCTCACAGTCTTCATCACTGTGTGGTGATCGCGTTTTAAAGGCAGTAGTAGTAACCAGACCTTCTCTGGAGAATGAGCCCCTGAATGACTTAGCAGTGGCAGTTTTAGCAGTTTATCTGTTCTTCATGCAATTTTACACATTTTAATCTAAAACCTAACAGGCAAACAGAACTAGTGACCTACCTAATCATTAGAGAGATTTAAGCAAATGGACCATTTTTTTCTTACATTAATGGAGATAATTTCATCAATAATCATCAAACAAGACAATTAAGTAAAAAAAAATTCTAAATTTGGTAATGATCCTAAGTAGTGAAAATTGAATTCTGTATAGTTTTATTTTTATTTTTATTTTTTTGCTTTTAAGACAGAATCTCACTAGGTAGTTAAGGCTGGACTTAAAGTCACTATATAGCCCAGGCTAGCCTCAAACTCACAGAAATTCTCCTGCCTCGGCTTATCTCACCACACCTGGCTGCTTATCATAGCTGTTTTTTAAAGACCTCTAGAATTGAGCTCTCTTCCCAGCCCTATCTAATAATTTCCTGTAGCTTTTCATCAATACACTTATATCCTCACAACACTCATGCACAACAAGAGTCATGGATGAAGCACGTGTTTGATACATACTTACGGAAATGATGAATAATTCAATACTCCTTGCCTTTCAAACTCATCATTCTATTTCCAAAATGGCAACACTACTTGTGAGCTACTCCACAGGGGAGTTAATTAATTCTCTGAAACTGGAAAATATTTTGAAGTTCCACAGTACTTTAGAATCACTGAAGAGCATTAATATATGCAATGAAGACATTATTACTTCCCTGACAAATAAATGGTGAATAATCCCTTTTAAAAATGTGTTTGTTTGCAATGCACTCAATAAATTTGTAGAAAATAATGAATTGTTGCTTCATTTCTATTAAAGGACACTTTGTATGAATTGAATACATGGTCTGCTTTAGCTCTATTGTTTGTTCATTTCTTTAGCTTTCAGGACTGCTTTTCATACCTTCTAATCAGAAAGGTAACCATGACAGAGTTCTGTGTTTTGGTAGGAAATATGGATCCCTGTGTGACCCAAGAGTACGTCAGCCACTGTAGTCACTGTAGTCATAAGCCTGGATAATCAATTAGAAAATTCTACTAGAGAACTCTTTTCCAAAGCTGGAACTATACTGCTCTCTTCCCTGGGAATTATGTACAAGAGAACTAGGAGGATTGGGTTAACTTCTCTAGTGGTAAAGCTTCAGGAAGGGCTTTGATATAAAGCTTACATTTTTTTGGAAGTTAAAATCCAAGTAAATAACACAAGCTGAAGTTTATTTTTCTAGACAATAAAAGTAAGACCTTAAATGCGAAAACACGGTTCCAGTGTCTATAATTCACTGGATTACATGCTTCATGAGGCAGAGATATGATGGTTTCTTTTGCCACCGCACTCGAGCAACTAGAATA